TCACTAACACTGTCTTTTTTTGGTTTGTTTTCTTTCAAAATGTTTAAAGATTTCATCTATTGTCTTGAGTTGCATTTTTCTTTTCATTTATAAAAGAAAAGAGGTTTAGGCCAGGTGCAGTGGCTCATGCTTGTAAACCTAGCACTTTGGGAGGACGAGGCGGGTGGATCACCTGAGGTCAGAAGTTTGAGACCAGCTTGACCAATATGGTGAACCCCCATCTCTACTAAAAACGCAAAAATTAGCCAGGCATGATAGTGCACACCTGTAATTCCAGCTACTTGGGAGGTTGAGGCAGGAGAATTGCTTGAACTTGAACAGAGGTTGCAGTGAGCAGAGACCGTCCCACTGCACTGCAGCCTGGGCAACAGAACGAGACTGTGTCTCAAAAAATAAAATAAAAATAAAAATTTTAAAAAGAGATTTAATTGGCTCCGTGGGCTGTACAAGAATCATAGAGGCTTCTGCTTCTTGGGTGGGGGTTCCCAGGAAACTTGCATGGTGGAAGGCAAAGGGGAAGCAGGCACTTACTTCTTACATGGAAGGAGCCAGAGCAAGAGACAGAGTGGGAGGTGCCGTGCACTTAAAAAACATCACAGCAGTCGTCTTTCTTTTTCCTCAGTTTTTAAGTTAAAAGGTAGATGTGCAGGATGATCAGACTTGTTACATAGGTAAATGTGGAGTTGCATTGTTTTTTTTGACCTCCGAGCTTTTTATTGGCCTCCTGCTCCCCAAAGGGTCCCCTGCTTCTGCTGGCCTAATGTCTCAGAACTTTGGTGTCATTGGTCTCAGACACCACTTTGCCATCCACTATCCGGCGGGCGGTGGTCTTTTGGATGATTTGCATGGAGTTAGTGCTGTCCAGGGCATCACCAAGACTGAAGTCCTCGCCATCTTCCAGCAGGCAGCGGTAGGTGGCCATCTCAGCCTCCAGCTTGACCTTGATGTTCAGCAGAGCCTCATACTCCTGGTCCTGGTGCTGTCCCTCTGCCCGGGTCTGTGCCAGCTCTGACTCCAGGTGCAGAAGGGTCTCGTTGAGCTGCTCCATATGCAGGGCGTAGCGGGCCTCCATCTCCCTCAGGCTGTTCTCCAAGCTGATTTTCATATTTCTCATGGAGTCCAGGTCGATCTCCAAGGACTGGACTGTACATCTTAGCTCTGTGAGCGTCATCTCAGCAGCTTCAACCTCAGTGGACTGTGTGGTAACCACTATGGTGCTCTCCTCAATCAGCTGAGTCCAGTAATTGTACAGGTCCTCTCGGTTCTTCTGAGCCAGCTCGTCATATTGAGCCCGGATTTCTGCCATGATCTTGGCGAGGCCCTGAGATTTGGGGGCATCTACCTCCACGGTCAACCCAGAGCTGGCAATCTGGGCTTGTAGGCCGTTTACTTCCTCTTCATGGTTCTTCTTCATGAAGAGCAGCTCCTCCTTGAGAGCCTCGATCTCTGTCTCCAGCTGCAGCCGAGTGACATTGGTGTCATCGATGACCTTGTGGAGCCCATGGATGTCGCTCTCCACAGACGGGCACATGGCCAGCTCTGTCTCCTACTTGACTCTAAAGTCATCAGCAGCAAGACGGGCATTGTCAATCTGCAGAACGATGCGGGCATTGTCAACAGTATTTGCGAAGATCTGAGCCCTCAGGTCCTTGATGGTCTTGAAGTAATGGCCCCAGTCTCTGACCTAGGGTCCCTTCTTCTCCAGGTGCTCCTGGATTTTGCTCTCCAGCTTCTGGTTCTCGGTCTCCAGGCTCCTCACTCTGTCCAGGTAGGAGGCCAGGCGGTCGTTCAGGCTTTGCGTGGTCTCCTTCTCGTTCTGATGCCTCCCATTTCTGCCAGACCCCCGGCCATCCCCGCGGCCTGGCCCCCGACCCCCATGCCGCTCCGGAAGCTGGCGGAGTAGGACACAGAGATGCGGGACCAGAGCCCCCGGCGCCTGCATAGACTCTGGCCGCGCTGCTGACCAGCTGGGCACCGTAGCTGGGCACCCGGACGGAGCCCACGGACCGGTAGTTGGTGGAGAAAGTGGAACAAGCGATGAAGCTCATGCTGCCCGGGGAGGAGAGCAAGAGGACAGGACATAAGAAGTCGGCAATCAGGATGTGGCACCGCGGTGCTCTGAGGAGGCGGCGCACTAAGGCGGCGCGCTGAGGCTGCTCTCCCTGAGATGCCCCGCGGCAGCCGCGCTCGCGGCCCTGAGAAAAAGGAGTTGGGATATAGAATGCCAATCCTTTCCAGGAGAAAGACCACTGCTGTTCAGAAGAGCAGTACTCAGGACACCGGGGCAGGTGCCTCCCTCTCTGAAGCATGGCTTAGGCGTGGAAAAGGACTTCAGGACACTTCTGGGACTCTGTCATTAACAGCTGAAGAGAAGACGACTACAGAAAAGCACCTTGAATTATCCCCTAGATCCAAGCAAGAAACCACCACACCTAAGAGCACCAGTGAGCTTACAGACATTACATGGAGTTCCAGTGGAAGTGATTTGTCAGATGAAGATAAGACACTTTCTAAATTACAGAGAGATAATGGACATGGCTCTGGAATAGACAGATTTCGTAACAGGAACATTTTGTGTCCAGAAGATGGGGCCAGTGAAGATGACTACAGTTTATCGACTGGGAGATCAACAGTGACAGGGCAGATGCTAGTGACTATAATGAATTTGAAGATGGCGAGGGTGCTGTGGAAATGTCAGACTGTGCTTCTTGTACAAGTAGTCGGTCTTTGGTTAAGTGATGAGAAGCTATCTGAGCTTCCCAAGGCTGGAGTGGACTGGCTCAGTATCAGCTCACTGCAACCTTTGCCTCCTGGGTTCAACCAATTCTCCTGCCTCAGCTTCCTGAGTAGCTGGGATTACAACCAAGTTCTGTAGAAATTTTAGAGTATTCATCAGATAGTGAAAAAAAAGATGACTTGGAAAATGTCCTACTCATTGATTCAGAATCCCCTCACAAATACCATGTGGAGTTTGCATCAGATGCAAGACAGATTATGGAGAGACTGATAGACCCGAGGACAAAATCAACAGAGACTATCTTGCATACACCCCAGAAACCCACAGCTATGTTTCCCAGGACTCCAGAAAATTCAGTAAAGAAGAAGCTTTTACGGATAAATTATACCTTTTTAATTACTGATTTTTTTCTTTAAAAACTGAAATATTTAAAATGTCAATTTTAAGATACTTGCATATGAAATCCTAAGTTCTGGAGCTGATTAATGGAACATTCACCCAATTTGAGGGTCATGGGTTCAGTCATGGCCAGCATATGTGACTGCATTTTTTAATGGAGATTTATTGTTTGGCTTATTAATTTTTATTGAGAGTCAGTATTCTAGGTGACTTGGAGACAAGTGAATAATTGTTCTAATCTTGAGTAACATAATCTAAAAAGGGAAATGGAAATATGTATAGATAGCGTCAGACTACTTTTATGAGAGAGATCTGCCAGGGCAACACTTGCAAGTACAAAAAAGGATGAGAGAGCAGAGACCCACAGACAAGATGCGTCTGCTGTGCCATGAGCTAGAGTGTCATTCAGGGGCTGGGCCGTGGCCATGGTGAGCAAAGCAGGAAAGACACAGGAAGGAGCCTGTAGGGACCTTCCCCAACCCTGTGTGTTACAAGGTCTTTTCTTGTTTAAATCAAAAGCATTGGCAACAAAAGCCAAAATAGACACATGGGATCTAATTAAACTCCAGAGCTTCTGCACAGCAAAAGAAACAATCATTAGAGTGAACTGGCAACCAACAGAATGGGAAAAAATTTTTGCAGTCTACCCATCTGACAAAGGGCTAATATTCAGAATTACAAAGAACTAAAACAGATTTACAAGAAAAAAACAAACCCATTCAAAAGTGGGCGAAGGATATGAACAGACACTTTTCAAAAGAAGACATTTATGTGGCCAACAAACATATGAAAAAATGCTCATCATCACTGGTTGTTAGAGAAATGCAAATCAAAACCACATTGAGATACCATCTAACACCAGTTAGAATGGTGATCATTAAAAAATCTGGAGACAACAGATGCTGGAGAGGATGTGGAGCAATAGGAACACTCTTACACTGTTGGTGGGAGTGTAAATTAGTTCAACCATTATGGAAGACAGTGTAGTTATTCCTCAAGGACCTAGAAGTAGAAATTTCATTTGACCCAGCAATCCCATTACTGGGTATATATCCAAAGGATTATAAATCATTTTGTAATAAAGACACATGCACAGGTATGTTCATTCTGGCACTGTTTACAATAGCAAAGACTTGGAACCAACACAGATGCCCATTTATGATAGACTAGACAGGGAAAATGTGGCACATATACACCATGGAATACTATGCAGCCATAAAAAATGATGAGTTCCTGTACCGTGTAGAGACATGAATGAATCTGGAAACCATCATTCTCAGCAAACTGACACAAGAACAGAAAATCAAACACTGCATGTTCTCACTCATAGGCGGGTGTTGAACAATGAGAATACATGGACACAGGGAGGGGAGCATCACACACTGGGGTCTGTTGGGGTGGACTAGGGGAGGAACAGCATGGGGTAGGGAGATTGGGGAGGAATAACATGGGGAGAAATGCCAGATATAGGTGACGAGGGATAGAGGCAGCAAACCACCTTGCCATGTATGTACCTATGCAACAATCCTGCATGATCTGCACATGTACTCCAGAACCTAAAGTACAATAAAATGTGTATATACATACACACACACACACACACACACACACACACACACACATATATATATATATGTATATATATAAAGAAGTCTGCCATCATTTTAAACTTTGTTCCCCTCTATGTAACATGTCCGTCTTTCTGACTGCTGTCAATATTGTTTTCTTTATCACTAGGTTTTGGCAAAGTGATTATGATGTACTTTGAAAGTGTTTTTAATTTTTACAAATGTTTATAGTCAGCTCTCTGTATATGCGGTATATGTATTGGTTGCAGGGCCCCCTGCAAATACCAAATTCTGCAGATAATCAAGTCTCTTACATAAAATGGCATGGTACAGTTGGCCCTTTATATCTGCAGGTTTTGATCTGTAGTTGGTTGACTCCATGGATGTGAAACATGCAGATATAGGGAGCCGACTGTATCTTGTTTGGGATTCTTTCAGTTCTTAAATTTATTGGTTAATAGTTTTCATCAAATCTGGAAAATTATGGGCCATTATTTCTTCTTATTTGTTTTGATTTATCCCTTCACCATTTTGGAAATTTTTTCTGTAGTAATTCTCTTTATATTGTCCATACGTCACTGAGGCTCTGAGAGTTTTTTCAGCCTTTTTTTCCCTCTCTGTACTTCAGATTGTTAGTTCTTTTTGCCATTATCTTAGTTTCACTCATCTTTTCTATTGAAGTGTCTAATCTGCAGCTAAGCCCATACAGTGAAAATTTCATTTCAGATATGGTATTTTTTTCAGCTCTAGAGTCTCAATTGATTCTTTTTTTGTAGTTTCATTTCTCTTATTATGTTCATGTTTTTCTTTATATCTTGTATATATACTGATATCTGTTCTAAAGTGCTTGCCTGCTCTTCCCATCATGTCTGTCGTGTCTAGATTTATTTCCACTAAGCAATCTTTTTCTGCTTCTTAATTTTTTGACTGGATGCTAGATATTAGAATGCAACATGGTTGAATGTTGGAATTTGGTTGTCTTAAAGAGTATTAGGCTTTTTTTCTAGCAGGTAGTTAACTTATATGCAAATCAACTTGATCATATTAAGACTTGTTTTTAAATTTTGCATAAATCTAAAGTAGCATTTACTCTGGATCTGGTTTAGTCCTACTTCTAACATGTGTCCTTTTTCTGATTTCCAAATGCTCAGTGAAGTCTCTCCCCTCTCACCGATCAGAACTCAAATGTCTCTCAGCCCTTTGTAATCTTCAACAGGTATTTATCCTTCTTGGGTAGTTCTTCTGATAGCTGTTCTGTGCCCATTCTCGTCGAGTCTCCTCTACATTTGTATAGATAGATTTCTGCCAGACTCAGGTTGATTCTACTGCAGATATCTGGAACTTTTTTTTTTCTGTGGGGATTCCTCTTCTCAGGTAATGTGCCCTATAAATCCAAGCTGCCACTGCCTTCCTGATCTCCCATCTCTCTTTTTTCAGTTCTGTAAGTCTACAGTACTCTGCATTGTTTGTCCTCTCCCTGCACTATAATGTGTCAAGTATTTCCATACACAAAGGCTAGGTGGCTGTAGGGCTCACTTAATTTGTTTCCTTTCTCTCAGGGATCACAGCCCTTTACAGCCTGTTGCCCAATGTCTAAAAACAGTTGTTTCATATATTTTGTCTGATTTTCTAGTTGTTTACAGATGAAGGTCTAGCCTGGTACCAGTTACTTCTTTATGGCCAGAAGCAGGAATCTCTAATATAGCTTTTATAGATGGATGAGGTGTGTTTGGTTGCCTTTCTGTAGTTAATAGGCCCTTGAATTTGTATTCATTATTTTCTTGGATACTGCATTTTAAAAGTAACATTTCTTAATTCTAGAACAAAAATTACACATACATTATTACATATAAGATTATATATAAAATATATAAATTACCATGAGTTAATCCTAATAAGTTTAGTCAGTCATGTAGTAGTCCTTGTGGTTTTTAAAAAATAATTCCTATATATGTGAGGGACATTTACATGCTGAATTTGTAGGTAGTCTGTTTCAAGTAAAAGAAAACCATTTCAGTTGTGACCTACTTTTTTTCCTTTTGATTTTATTCACTAATAGCCATGTGTTTTGATAGTATATAAAGCAACATTTTATTAGTTTCTCAAATCCCTTGCTCTGCTTTTTTACAGAATGAAATTTTTCACTATTTATGTCATACTGGAGAATACAGAATGTGAAAATATAATTGTCCACTTCTCTTAACTGCAATTATAGTTTGAATAGTCTCACAAGATACATTTCTTTTTCCCCAGACGTAAGTGAAGCCTCTTTTGAGTTCAGAGCTAAAATTAAGGACTATTTTAGATTGAGTCCCGAGGACACTCAGTTTTTCATTCTAGGTAGCACTATCTCATTTTTACATTTCCTGTGTTGTCTCTATAGATGGTTAGAAAAGCATACTTCATCAGAACGATGGGTTACTGCCAGCGCCCCTCTGTGAGATGGTTATTAAAAGCCAGTCCTCTCCTCTACAATTCAGAGTGCAAGGTTTTCACTGATGTTATATACTTGAGCTCTTCTGACACGAGGGAGAGGATAGCTCAAACAGCTCTCAAAACAGGGTTTATAGCCTTTCCTATCATTTGGCATTTCACTGAACTAGGTGAGGTGGTTCTTAATCTTTCTCTACCTCTTTATCATTAACATGGTTGATCGTCAGTGAAAGCTGCAGTCAAACAAAAATGGAAACTTTGTAATTTATGTATAGCTTTAAAAAGGCAAAGAA